AAAAAGCTCTTCACAGAATACCACACGACACTCATACTTACCCTAGATTCGTTCTTTTCAACAAATGCTACTTTTGACTTTGCCCTACTGTCGGGATTTCCTCTAGGCTGGTTGGTTTCGTTGTACGTGCTGATTTCTTTTCCATGCCCCGATTTTCTGCCGACTCTGTTCTTGAAAGTGCCATGTGTGAAGATAGACCCTTTGATTCCAGCCTCGACTGAACGTATATTTGCACTTGCGTTATGCCCTTCCCAGACTTTTTATTTTCTTCCTCACCATTCTGAAGCTAGGGTTTAAGATAGATACATAATGTAGTTCTTTCCTTCACCAGTTTGTACCGAATCTCATATCTCTTTAGCTTTAGATAGTAGTCCTATACCACAATATATGATGTCCTTCCTTCAGTCATACAACATCTTATGGACTTTGAATGACTCATAGATATTTGTGTCCCCTCATAAAAGAGGCAAAAGAAAGTTCATGTTAGGTTTTTTTAACGTCTGATACCAACATGTCTCCAATATAATAGTGGCAAAAGAAAGTTCATGCTAAGTTTCTTAAACGCATGAATACTAAAATGCCCCTATAATAATAATGGCAAAAGAAAGTGCAAGTTAAGTTTCTTGAACGGATGGATACTAAAATGCCCCTATAATAATTATGGCAAAAGAAAGTGCAAGTTAAGTTTCTTGAACGTATGGATACTAAAATGCCCCTATAATAATAATGGCAAAAGAAAGTGCAAGTTAAGTTTCTTGAACGTATGGATACTAAAATGCCCCTATAATAATAATGGCAAAAGAAAGTGCAAGTTAAGTTTCTTGAACGTATGGATACTAAAATGCCCTCATAATAATAATGGCAAAAGAAAGGGCAAGCTAAGTTATCAAAACGCATGGCGAGTCACGAAGGTAAACGTCGCTGAGCAACATACAGAACGAGATCACAGATATTGTGCTAGTAGCATCTGGGTTGTCTCGGGGTTGAGGTACGCGATCCCATCAATAGTGAAGCACCCAGTGGCGAAAAAAGTCGTAACGTGGTGGCCCTCGAAGGGATAAGAACAAACCCATAACAATATGACGCGGTGCCGTAGAGTGATCCTGTGAATCTGGAGCAGGCCCTTAGGAGGTACTACAGCGAGTACGAGCAGAGGGTGCCCAAACTGTAACCCATGCCAAGTGCATCGTGTGAGATATTGCGTAGCATGTGTGCCCAAATATTAAGTCAAGTGGGTGATCGAGACATGCAAGTGCTCGGAAAGCATAAAGGGCAGACACCGCTTGGTCTTAGATAGTCATCCACTTGGGAAGGGCGACGATAGACAAAAGTGGCAAAAGATGCTCATTCCTAGCAGACAGTTATTGTGTATAGAGTGCGAGTTCGCTTCTTGTACTTGACTCTCGCCATCACTCCTCCTCATGTCGCCACCATTTCAGATCTACATTTCGCCAGCGGCTTTTATCCACGACATGTGGATCTCCTGGAATGTACCAAATCTTTACACCGGAATATGTCGCAGGCAACTTGACAAGCGTGTCTCTTGCTTTGAAACTCTCATTCACAGGACATAAATACTGCTGTTTATGCTATAATCCAGAAAGAACAGCAGGGGCGCCCACGGGTCGAAAAGAGGGATATGGCTGAACAGTTTCCGAATTATGAGATCGGATATTTCTTTCTTTTCGTCCGTACTTCCGGTGCATACAGAAGGTATGTTCTCGAGTACATGAATTTACTTGAACTGCGTGCGTTCTAAGACAGAGCCAAGTTAATACGCATAATTGGGATACAATAAGATATTGGCAGGCACTCTTTTCCGGTCCTGGGAAAAATATCTCGGCTCCCCAGCATAGATACACGCTGCAAAATATCCGTAGGCTTTAATACGAGGGCACAATCGGAATATGTGTTATGACGACGCTCATTAGCAGATGAGCTTTCGTTCGGATCTGAAAAAGGTCGAAAAGCGGAATTACAAATGCAGCTCCTCTTACACCAAGCACATGATTCGTAAGAGCGATGGGATCGAACCAACGTCGGCTGATCATGAAATCATACATTCGTATTGCCCTGCCCGGCTCGTGAGTACGTCATGGATAACATGATAGGTCTGGGTGAAAGGTGACGTCTATAAATATCTGATTAGCCGAAGGCGAATTGAAGAAAAATTGTTACAGCCACGATAAAAACGTCGGGGGAAAACCCTACCGCCCAAAGAAAAGATCTTCATGGTTTGAATTGCTTTTGAAGATCAGCCCTGGCCTACACACGCCCCATGTCAGACAAACAAGAATCCTGATGATATAGGTACACTGTACTCAGAAGACCAGGTTCCATGTTGTTGTTAAGGCGACCCAGAGCGGAATTTTGTTTCTCGATGCGAGTAACCCCGGGGTGAAATGTGGAATCCTAGAGCCTCCGCTGGCTTTGGTGACGATAACCACCAGCCCAGAAAACTATGTAGTGACTTTTCCTTAACTTTTCTGGGTTGAGTTTAGCGAAACAGAGACACAGTGGTCATCCCGTGACATATACTACTAATAGCTCGATTGACAACTCCAAATTCTCTGTCACCAAGTGCTACATGGTTCATATTGGCGACTACAGCGTTCGATTTGATTGGCGACATGCCGCAGGGTCCCACCACGGATCGCCAAATATCTTATTGGAGACCTAGCCCTAAGATATCTAGTAGGACAAGATAGAGAACTGTAGTGTTTTTTCTGTCTCTCGAAATCTCCACTGCGGCCCCACCGTAAATACATCTCGTACGTGTTTAGAGAATCGATTGCGGAAATCACGTAATGCATGAAGTAACTTGGGTGCGGTAAGACCTATCGCCCCTTACGAAAAGGGCCTCAACGAGAGCCGAGGATGTTGATTGGCAACGTTCAAGTATCGCAGCACATGAAGCAGAATGGGTAGTGGACCATGGGAAAGTGACTGTGCGTGGACTACGCAGTACTGATTCTTGACAGGTAATCTTTTTGTGAGACAACTTAGCAGAAAAAGTGAAAGCGTCTGGGAAAGCACTCAATTCCGCCTGCAAATTACTCGAGTTGGTACGTGCTTCCAATCTCCAGTGCTGCAAAGAATTTTCTAGTTGGAGTCCATCCTTCGATCGTCGTTTCGAAGCCTGACCGCGGGCAATAAATCAATTGATTCCACGGCCAATTTTACAAATGTTTAGGTTTAGTATTCTTCTGTACTGACGGATGCATCTAGTGTTCTGATTTACACTTTGGATCTGTATGTATTGTTGCGGTCAAACGTTTAGACAACTGGCTGATAGGATCCTAACTGTTGGGCAATCTCAACTGCTTGTGATTCTGACAATCGAAAGATCACTTTGAGTTTGCTTCAAACAAGTTACAATTTTTAAATAGGTCCTTACTGTATTAAATCATAGTTGAGCATTTCTTCTTCAAATACCTGGTTTTCTTTTTATTTTAAGATGGATTTGTCTTTGATAGTTTCATACTGATATTCATATTTTATAATATATCACAAAAGTAATAATAATCTAGAGTTACACAACATTTGAACCGCACTTATGAAGCTACGGACATGAAACATGGCTATGTTTTGAAGTCGATCAAAACACCTTTAAGAAAAATATAGTTAGACACATGATTCATTGCTCTCAGAATTTATTTTTTCTCTTCATATCGCATAACAGAAAATAAAGTCATGATCAAAATTAGTAAATGAGAGAACACACTCTCAGAAAAACGAGAATCTAATACAAGCCTAACATAAATCTGTTGAGAATATTTGTGATAATGATCCAGGTTGTTCAGTTTCCTTTTGTGTGTATAATTCAGAAAATTCTTGAATGATAAATTCAAATGAAAAGTTGTCGGTTCGAAGTTGAAAGTATTACTTTGTATTAGATTTGGAGGATTCCATACATGTACGATCATTGTCATAAAAATAAAATAAATGCAAATGATTTTATGATAAAAGAAATAGACGTGCGATTCTAGATATGCATTCATGTCTATAGAGAAACTTGATGTTAGAATTCTATTTACACAAATTTTTTATTTCTTTTATTTCCAGTGTGGTAGGGAAAGGAAACTAATGACAACCAAATGATACATATTTTACGTGAATTCATCTGCACATGTAACTGGTGAGTTATCTCGCCTTGAAGGAGAGGCCCGTGCTTTATTTCTTCATTGTGGCTTTTCATAACGTCCTCTAGCCCCAAACATAATTAGCGTCGAATAGACTCCAGTATGTCAACGGCCACTTTCAGCAAAGCTTTCATGTTCTCACTTGCAAGAATCCAGCATTCTTACCTGATATACAACACATGATAGAATTGATCTCGTGGCTGCTCTGTGTCAGAAGCGAATTCGGATCCAATGGAATGTTACACACTTTGATCATGAACTAGGATTGCAGAGCGACTAGTATTCTGCTTTCGTCGTCGCTACACATGTTGAGATCCAGCGGCTGAAACCTTGATCCAGAAAAACTTATTACTGAAAAGTTAGGTTTGAGGTTCAATATCCAATTCCAGTTGTAGAACATCCTGTTTGCACTAAGGCTGTCAACCACCAAGATTCATAAACAGATTTGGGTACCTGCCGATAGATGTGAATCTAGATGTTTGAATATATCAGAAAAGAGTTCGTATGATTCATCGTCACCGGTCTGATCCAGTACATCCCTGTCTGATCCATGGATTATTACAGGCATCGAAGGTCAGCAGCATCACTTCACTACAATCCCAGTAGTAGAAGCTTTGACGCATTCGACATGTGATACGTCTTCCACACTCTCCTGATGATTTAAAAGACAGCAAAAAACTATCAAGGAAACTTTCATCGTCGTGTGTTGGCCGGTCAACTTTTCGCGGTCCGAAACCGGCTGGAATTGAGCTCATTTCTGGCAGCAGCACAGTTGTAAAGTACCAAATGGGTCTCGTCAGAGATTCCAAAGACATGGCGGAGAAATGCCTGCCCAACTATCATGAGCTAATGAACGAGTCAATGTTTCTCGAGCACAAAGGTCGTAAGAACAACGAGAATCGTCAGGGCAGGAAGGCCATCCCATTCCAGCAATACACGGGACAGGCTGGAGGGATGGTCTCGACCGGCGGTCCGACACCGAGGCTCCCGGTGACCGAGAGGAAGGCATAATCAGACCTCCGGTCGTTGGTGCGCCTGGGCATGCAGACATGACGTTCAACACTCGTTCGAAGTTCGAAATTCGAAATCCGGCGCGGCCAGGTTTCGATTTCTTCGTGAAGAAGCCAGCGCCGGTCCGACGACCGGACAGCCTCTCGAGCGGTGGCCTATAAAGGCTTGCTCGTGGAGCTCCCTTCAGAGCGCAGGCGAGTGCCAACCTCGACGGTCTTTGACGATCGACGAGCGATGGACCAGGGTGTGATCCCTGATGTCCTATCGACATAGAGTGGTCATGATCATGAGTTCGCGAGAAGGCGAGCTCACGGAATGAAAATCATAGGCCGTGTTAGTCGATGAGGTCCTGCCAAGCGATCGTGAGGAGGAAAGAACGCCCTTCTGGACCTGGCGAGACCTACGGTCTTACCGCCGGTATTATTCATAGAAAAAAAGCCGCGCGAATCGTGTACGAATGGCATATTCTGGACCACGATACAGAGCGAAGCGAAGATTGTGTCTTTGTCGCGCCGGTAGTTGTTAGATAGATAGCCTGGTGGCACCGATTTGTCTTCATTTGCATGGACAGGCCACCGAAACAGTGCGAAGGAAGGATGGGTATAAAAAAGGAAGTTGTTATGGATTGTCAATTTTTTTGTTTCTGAATCCAGGACAAATATACTCTGAGCCTCTTGACCGTAAGATGAAATAGGTTGCGAATGTTGGCAGTCTTCGTAGTGAACAAACGAGGACTATCAAATAGAGGAGGCCCCTATGGTAAATAATGTCAATCCTATATCTCCGCTTGTATCACGGCCATCCTCCTATCTGAAAATGGTGAACTTTTTCAGAACTGGAACCGAAGCTGGTATCTATCGATGAATTTGAATCTTTCCAAAGTTTAGTCGTTCTAATGCTTCCCATCTGAGAAGATGTGCCGTAGCACGACTCGTGTGGCCTTCCGTCTTCTGCGATGCTGCTTATAATTGCTAGCATAAGTTCCGGGTAGGATCACGAGTGGTACAGAAAAGGTAGAATGAGCGATGTTTCCGGAACACCTGTTCTTTCACATGATATTTTCTTTGCTCTGCAACACAGGGCAGCATACGAAGACATTTTCAAGGATTCATTACCCACCTCGTTTAGCACGTCAAAAGATGAGAAACCGTCGGCCTGGTATTGAGGAGCAATTTTAGCCGAGCAGTTCACAGGCTACACGCATATCTTGAAGTCAATGAGCTGAACTTCGACTACCATGAGGGAAATGAGAGTCAATCGCCTGTAACGGATGAAGGGGCGGTACAGGATAAACTCAGAAATTCAAGCATTAAAATCTGGGACTATGACAACGATGAAAACTCTGCAGTGGGTTCTGACATTCAGTGCAGCGTACGCTGCTGTATGTATCGGAGACGACAGTTCCTATATGGACGTCGACACGGTGGACCTCTTGTCGACGCACAAAGTAACTCATAATCTTTTCTTTCAAAGAAGTGTTTCTGAGCGGAATTGTGGGGAGTGCTAACCATGTCTTCGAAGTCTGGCAATATGTATGCAGTATTTTCTGCAAAGATCTCTACATGAAAAATAATTTCCTCATAAATATAGCAGTGAGCTGCTTTGACAATCTAAAAACATGGAAAGACGGCCTGGCTCTACTTTGCTATCACTCTGATGTCAGGGTACTTCATCAGAGCTGAAATATTTATTTAACTGTATAGAAAGTGTCTTCTCGAGTCTTTGTTCATGTTCAAGATCTGAGTAGTGAGTGTGCCTTGCAAAAGATAACGATTTTTAGTATACTTATTCAATAGCGAGAAAGGAAAGCGTGGCCTAGCTGCACCAATATCTTCGTTCTAAGCTGTCAGCTTCGTGAACTGATGTTCTCATACGAATGTCTGTTATTTACATATGCAGCTTTGCAGCACGGATTGCGAATCAAAGTGGTGTTATGGTGAGTAATACCCTACTTAATTGATATCCCAGAAGAACTCCTCAGGAATGTGGTCAGCATATCATCCAATTCTTCAGGGGCTATGTTGAAGTATGTTGCTGTTGCCCGTGTTTTCAGTGCCACCTGCGTTAAGGTACGGAAAGTACTGTGGGATCGGATACAGTGGATGTGATGGCCAAGATCCTTGTGATGGTCTGGACGCATGTTACAAGACACACGATCAATGCATCGGCAGTAAATTGTGTAAGATATAAGTTTCTATCTGCACATAGGATCTGTAAAGACTGTCTGAAAGGCATAACTTTTTATTTGGTATGTCTTTTTTCACCTCATACATACAGCAGTTGAGAAGAATCAAGGAGGGGATTCTTTTTGTTTCTTAAACATCATTCAAGGCCCTAACAAACATACGAATGTGCAAAGTGTTTTTGGTCTTTAGCTGCTTGAACACGTATCGAGCTGAACAACATAGTTTTATAATGAATGCGGGCCTACGCATGTGAGTGTAAAAGTACTTTCGGAGCTTGATCGAGAGTGGACGTTTTCGTCGCCAGTATGAGTGATACGAGGTATGGAGGATGGAGGTCAAAGACAATGTTCTTGAGACCCATGGACTAGGACGTGGCTGCTGTGGTTGTGAAAGAGATGTCACACTGCTGTAAATCTCTTGATCAATCATCTTGCTAATTTAGCTGGAGGTTTGAATGGTGCAGGTAATTACTTGAATGTGGACTGCAATCAAGCTTTGATTGATTGTTTGAACATCTTCCAGGCTTCCGGAGCTTCCCAATTTGCAGGTGCTAACTGTAGTACCGGGACTTTAGTGGGAGTTATAAACGCTGTAATAGAGATCGGAGTGAAGGCTGGAGAAGCTTTAAATAGGACAGGTAAGTGCTAAATATCTTGGAGTACACTCCCTCAACGCGGAGTAGGTCTAGAATGCTACTGCCTCTGGAAGTGTTTGAGAGGTTCGTCAATGTGGTTAAAGTTGTCAAGGGGTTGTTTTTACCCTAAAATCACGGTGATGACCAGGTGGAGCTCATTGTTTGATCAGATTGGAATATTTCTCTGACTTCCTGGAAAGTCCTGTCCTGTAAGTTTTTGAGTAGTTACCATCTGCCTTACTGCTCGACTTCACTACAGTACGGAAATCTTGCCATTTGGATTCTCGGACTTCTATTTCTAATAAAACGTTGGGTAAAGATCAGAGAAGATTGAAGATACTATGATAAATACGGGCCGGAAATTTAGAATGGGGACGTTCAGGAAAAAAAAAGGCATAAGATAATTACGAACCAGTTGTTTACGAATTGTTGCAGTTGAGGTGTTTGCCGTCAAGGAAAAAGAATTGATCCACCACTCAGAGCAGGATACGGAGGATTCTTCTACGATTTTAAATAGAAGCAATGTCGCTCATTGAATAGCATAAGTTTCCCATTCCACACAAAGCTCAGTCGTACCTTCATATTTAGTTCTCTCATCAACATGGTTTTGGCGTACCTACAAACCACATACTCCTGGGGATGTACCTTGCTGTACGTAACAGTTTAGTCAATACTCTGTGATTTTACTATGTGGAATTCAAATGCCGTGTCCTGCTACATGTATCCATAACAACAGATGTCATGTTTTGAATTATTCAACTGTCAAGATCCACATGTGCCGGAGAAGGTCTTTCACCTTGTGAACCTCTGTAGCAGGTTTTCATTTTTTCACAATAGCTGTGGTACATGCCGGGACACACATCAAGAAATTTGTTCCAGGACACATCTTTACAATGGGATGCCTGATGAATGTGTATCAAACACCCGGTCCAAGATTTTGCAGGAGAGAATCCGATTTCAAGGTGAGGTCAATGATTGTATCTTGAATCCTACAATGTCACAGACTGCAGCGATTCTAGAAAAGTGGAATCAAATGACGAAGGCCTCACCATTACCCAGAAATATCAGGCTGCTCAAATCGAGCAAGGCGTGTTGAAGGATCTGAAACATAGTCAACGTCAAGAGAATGACGGTGCCTACGTTGGTCGTCCGGCTTTGCGCTCGATCTTCCGTCGCAAGTTCCCACTGATATCACGGTTAGCTGGTCAGAAGAGATAATACAATGTCATGCTTATGTCATTTGATAGGAGCCTGCCTTGTTTTACGATCATGTTTGAAAGTAACAGTTTACAAAGATCTCGTTTTCTCTCTAAGAGACCTAATAGTTCAGGTCCACAACCAAACATTCGAACATACGTGTCCACAATGGAAGTGCTATTCTGGAACCTGTTCACAGTAGCTCGTATGCCGAAATCATTGATACACCATGATCGCAACAACGGCAAAGCTGACGCACTGTTCTTGGCTAGACTCAAAGGGTTTCTGTAGCAGATTGAGCCTATAATTCGGACTCCTTAGAATCCATATAGTGCCTCGGTTTCTCCTCCGACACCACCAGCATTTCAGTTTGCGTGAGGCTTTTCATGGGCACCTTGAAGTGAAGCTACCAAAATGATCCTGCCTTCAGATGAGTGACGAACCCTCCCTGAAATTCTTATTTCGATTTCAAAACTAGATTTTGAGAACCGTTGTTTTCTCTCCTCGTCCTCGATCGATTTGTTCTGCATGGACTTCAGAGGTTACTGATGCATGTGATTCGCACAGACTGTTTCGTCGCTGGCATCTTTGCTTTTTAAATTGTGACGACCTCCGTCGAAGCAAGTTGCTGACATACACAGCTCCGCTCGCTGACTGCAGCAAGAAGTCAGGAACCGATGATTTCCCAAGCAGTCACTTGATCGTCGCTGATAAAAGCTTCCCTCGCAAGGATCATGCTTGTTGGAGGTTGTGACTGTAGAGTGTCATTCTAAGTCGACCGAGCTGTGAGGTAAGGCGTTCGGAGTCGAGGTAAGGGTGCCGTAAGACCAGAGGAAGTGACTTTAGCCTGATATGCCTCGTGGAAATTTTATAATAGATCTACGAGTAGACTTTGTGTTCGTACGTTTGCAGAAATCTCGCCAGTAGATCCAGTCATTTTGTAATGCTTCACATCAGGGAGGAAAAAGCCTTTTGATTATTTCTTGATTTGGTCACGATTTTTGCAGCAGAGTCGTCCCGACCTAATCTTCACGCACCTCTTCGCGATTGACCACCTGTCCTTTAAACAAGTTGGAACACTTTTCGCAGACTTGCGACCGTAATCGACGGGACTTGATTGGTCCGAGCGTGGCGGTGAAAAATGGGCTCTTAATGCCCTCCAAACTTGGACAGGCAGATTGCAATTGACAAGAGTTATGTTCCTTTCTGTTCATGCCGTTGAGAAACCTTGGAGGGGTCCTCCACCCTGCCCTCTTTCTAGCCAGAGTCTTTGAAATTTTCTGTGCAGGATCTGACATAGAGTCTGATGTATAACAGAGATCCCAGATTCTATTGGCCCTCTTTACATCATCCAGAATCCAAAGTTCAATCTCTACACTTCCACACGGCTGAAGACAGCTGACACAGACGTACGTAGAATCTGATACTGAAGGCACAATGTTGGTTCCGTTACAGTGAATTCTCACATAGTTTCTCTACACGGATTCCTGAACAAGACCTCTAGCACTAAACCTCTTTGACATGTAACTGCCGCAAGCAGTTCGGTCGTTCCACGAGGTACTGGGATCTCTGAGGATTCGAGGCCAGATCCGGTTAGTTGAAAACAGAGGCCACTGCGAGGGCACGGTGAATGAGTTTTCAGCTCGAGTACACAGATGTGTAAAGTCAAAAGCTCAGGATCACGGAGTTCATAGGTTTCAAGACTGCACCCACCCCCGAAGGTCAGCTGGGGGGTGGGGGGTCACAATGCCGTGCAGGAGTGTGCAGGAGCCGTGAGTCATATGCCTTGCTCCTCGACAACATCTATCACGGTGAAACTCGAATTTCTGTCTTTTACCTATATATGAGCAAAACCCATGTCTTCAGCATGAACTCTCAGATTGCAGGCTACATGAACGACAAGCATCCCCTAGCTCTTGTCTATCCATGCCGCTCGTATATCCGAAGGATCCTGTCGCACATGAGCTCACCCGAGATCACTGTACTCGTCCCCACTAGCATTCATTCCAACCCGAATCGACGAAGGGCAACCATTTCTATCTTCAGGCGATGACCCCACCCAATACTTCCCTTCTTGTCTCAACAGTATAGATACTTCCGAGATAGGCTCCAGTAACTTCAACTGCGGTAGCTCCTGTGTTTTATTCATTCGTGGGTAGGAAGGAGATTCAAAATCTACAGTACTTGCTGCAACTTGGCACCAGCTTTTTCCACGCATCGTCCGGCACGGACGAGCCGGGTGTCTCTTTTGTTGCCAAGGCCATTTATATTCAGTTTTGTCTGTCTACAAATGCCTCCGTGCCAGTGGCCGGACATTATTGGCGTCATTTCTGCCGGACTGAAAGCGAGAGTGGTGAACTGTACCTAGTTGTACTCGAACTCCTGGGGGTTCCATCACGGCAATGGAAGCTGTCGTTACCTTCGGTCAGCCACAACCGCGTCGTCACATAGCCCCCGGATATCTCCCCGGACGAGCCAATTCGGACACATTGGTAGAAATATCCGGGGCTCTCCACAATCGTTGGAGGAAAGTCGGAAGCTCCGTCTGTAACTGTTGAAGATCCGCACATCCCAATGAAAGCTTTACAGTTAGCGCGAAGTCAGGAGGCGATCGACGTGCACTCGGAATGTTATGATCTGCTCCTGGTTTGGGTCGGGCTCCGGAGGCTGGCTTTCCGGTACACACCGAGGGATCGTACAGAGATCGCGCTTATCTCTCGAATCGTGAGCTGGTTCCGCCAGCCCTCGAGATGCAAGCGAGAGTAGGTCGGTAGCGGAGTAAACCGAGCCGGGGGTGGAGCGAGGGCTTCTTTATGAAGACCAGTCCTCCCTGGGCCGAACCCTGTCATTTGTATCCAAGGGCCGGGAGCGAGGAGTTGGTCCGTTCACGAGACTTTCCTTACAGATCTCAGACATGGCACATATTGTGGATGGTACCGAGGTGGAGGAATCTTACCGAATTTCGACATGACATCCGGGTAGAGAGACCGGATCAAGGTTTGTACTGTACCTGTTTATCCTCCTTGAGTAGCTGGCATGGAAGCTTTATTTGTTGTCTTTCTTCGGGACGAGAAGGCGAGACTTGGCAATCAGGACAAGTTGCTAATCGGGTCCTCGTACCCAGCCCTCGGAAGCTTGTGGGTAATAATGCAGGTAATTCGGAGGCAATAAATCTGTACCGAGCTCGCAGGGCACGGGATTCCAAGCGCGGGACGCGAACTGGGCGTGACAGCCGAGTCAAGAATCCAACATGAAATGTGTCACAGGGAGTAATGAGTAGCCTCCAGAATAGATGCCTGTTTCCGTGCTATTAACTTATTGAAGGATCAGGCTCGTAAGGGAATTTAATCGGTTTCGTTGCTCGGAAGACCCACATTATTTAACCTTTTTCTCGAGAATCTCTCCTCCTCGAACATCCCAGGAGGTCAGAGCAAGTCCCGGGGCTGCCAAATTGTTTGTCGAAGGTACATCATGAGCACGAGCATTAGTACCTCATCACATGATCCTCCCCGGCCCCGAAATCCGGCTACGAGTGAGAGCTCGGTAGCTTGCGGAAAGACGATTGATGGTTGACCTACTATAGAATATGTCAGGCTAACCGGGTCAGGCTAGCAAAGTATTGTATTATGCAGCTTTAGGCGCAGGTTGAATGCGATCATTGTTCCGCCGATGAAAGCAATATCTCGGGGGCGAGGCGTCGGTTAAGCATCTGCTCTCGGGAGAGCGAACTCTCTGAGGATGCATATCGGAGCACTGTGGAGCAGCACGGGAGGCATCGGCATCGCCCAACTGCGGTGTGGCGCAGTGTGGCAAATCTGCAGCCTTCGAGACTCCTTCGCTAGCTTGCGGTCGAACGAATCGCCCTGCCTGCCCACCTCGGCTCGAAGGGCGAGGGTGTTAGATCCTCGATCCGCCACGACCCTCCGGAGAAGAGATCGTCGCAATGGGTCTCCGCAAAGCGACGGAGGCTTCTCCGGAGGGCCCGAGACCGGCGAGCTCACGACGCTGGTTTCTTCCTCGCTTCGCTGTGGGAGCTCGGGTCGGATTGGCATTGACTCGTCCACGGGTATTCCAAATGGGGACCGTCAGAGCGCCTGACCAGGAGCAGCAGGAGCAGGAGGGCCGAGACTTGGACATCCCAGCGCGCGCTCGTGTGACGTAATCTCTGTTGCACAGCTGGCGCAATCGGAACACCGGATCATATCACTGCATGTGCCCTCGCCTGTCAATTGTTTCCACGTTCGACCGGGCTCTGTTGTGTTCCTCATGTAGGGACAGCGGCTACGCAGGCGCGCTCTGGATTTCCAGGAATGTGCCCTCGCTTGTTTTCTTCTGCTCGCCAAATCTCCCGAGCCCGTGTCTTGTTGTACTGCCCTTTCATCGGCCCTCCGCCCTCCGCCCTCCCTCCGTCGGCCTGCCATCGCGCCCGGCGCTTCCTTCCTCCCTTCCCAGGCGAGCGCTCTGTTTTGTCGCTGCCCGGGGCCGCACATGGGGTCGCCCCGGCCTCAGCTCCGGTCGCGGCCCCAGACATTCCTCCTGCGAGGCGGGGGATTGGCCCCACCCCTCCTCGCAGCGGACCATCCGGCTCGATCCATATCCTCAGCTCTGCGAGCTGCTTCTTTTCCCGACGTTTTCTCCGTGGTCCGACCGCGCTTAGCCATCCTCGCCCGCCTCGAAATCAGTCCCGATAAACTAGCAGCCGCTGCGGTGTCCCCTAAACCCGCCCCGGCCCCGGCCCATCCGCCATCGCGGCACATGCGCGGCCCCTACGCAGTTTGCTTTCCCGGAGCTCACTTCGAGGCGTGGTTCTGACACGAGGGCGGCTCCTGCAGGGCCCGTCAGCTCTTTTCAGGGTCTAACCCACGCTCCGCCAAAGCTCGTCGGGTCACCACCGCCGCGGTCAGAACTAACCCGGATTCCCATAAAGCGTCAGCCGGGCCCGAAAGTGGACCGGGAAGCCGGAGCACAGCCCGAGCGGGGCGGTGCCGGCGCAGGATCATAACGGAAAGTCGCGGTCGCGGGCTGCTCGGCACTCCTGCGCCAGTCGCCGGGCTGCTGCTGCTGCTGCAGGCACATGCGGCGTCTGAGGATCGGCCTGACCGAAGCCCCGCGAGGAATCTCAAAAGACTCACACCGCTTGCGGCACCATGTGCAGACCAGGCTCGCCGGGCTTGCGCGAGACAGGATTACGCCTCGCGTTGTTAATTCGACAAGGATTCTCGCGCGGGGTTTCCGCGCGTCATTACAGCGCCTCAAAACTCCCACTCGTCTGAAAAGGTCTCGCCGTGTAAGGACAGATGGTACTCCAGGGCCTCGCCACGCCCGGAGCCAGCCGTGCTTATGTCATGTCAGCTGGTCCTGGAGATTCTGGGCCCCCGCCACTCGCTGCTTTTTTAAGCCTTCTCGAGATCGCCCTCGCCCTCGCCGAGACCCGAGCAGGCCCAGTCGATTCGGTCCGGGGCCTCATGGAATTCTGCGTCGCGCGAGAGACGATACCCTCTGCCCCGAGGCCTGTCCGCCGTGCCGGACCTTTTGTGGGGACCTTCCGCAGGTGAGGCTCGGGGATCACCCCCCGCCCGCCCCCACGAAGTTCGTCCTCTGGGAGCCTCGGAGCCTCCCGCTCGAGATGCCACCGCCTCTTTTCGCTGCGCTGCGGTACGGCCCATATGTCCGGGCCCAAACCCACAGTGCCGCTCGCAGGCCTCGATCATCGAGGCTCGATGGCGCTGCTCTCGGATTCATGCACAAGCGGCCATGAGGCCTGTGCAGGAACACAGGCACCCGGCCAATCATTCCCTGTGCATTATTGAACTGCCACTCTCTCCGCCTCGTGGTTCGGCCAAGCCCGGGCCTCGGGTCGAGCCTCACCCTTCCCCCGGGGCCTCATGAGGGTGAACCCCCACCCTCCATGGCAAGTCTTGCGTCTGCGGAGGGCCGGGCCACGGGGTTTCGACTCGGACGGGAGGCGCCGGAGGTGAAAGCCCTGAGCCGTTTTCACTGTGTACGCCCGCGGGGCGACTCAATCATGAGAATCGTGGCAGATTTGGCCTGAGCTCGCTCGCCGGCACTCGGTCACGGATCCTGAATGAATTACGGAAATGGATCAAGATCTCGTCGCCGCAATCTTTATGAGGGAGTTAAGATCTGGCCATTCTTTCTGGGCTCCCGGTACACTCCTGACTGCCCCACTGACCGCCTCAGTGTCCATGATGACGACGGTGTGTGGGGTAGGACTCCGGCCCAGTCTGCGGTCCTACCGGTCTGCGAGACATTGAAAGCCAGAATGATTACATGGCCTCCACCGCTCCCCCCCTTCCCCCGATTGGATTAGCCCGTTCCTCTCCGCGGAGCCAATCCGACCACTCCTTTCCGCCTGCCCAGTGGCTCGGCACAGGGACTTTCCCGTGACGTCGCCTGAGCCAATACCCGAGACGAAGGCCATCCACGCCGTCGCGTGTTCGCGTTCGTTCTCCGTGGCCTTGCGTCGCGCGCCTCATCCAGCGAGCCTGACAGGAGGGAGGGCTGGGGGCAGCGACGTTCAAGTGGGCCACAGATTGCCAATAATGCAACGACATGAGGATATTTCTCTCGGCGCTGTACAGCACTTTTCTTTAACTTGCGCACATCCCACAATGCGGACTCATGAAAACTAGCTGGCCCATCTGGCCGCCTAGGCGCTTTGTTTGAAACCTAAAAATTCCCTCCCTCCGTATTCCGTATCGTATGCACTCAGTACGGCGCTCGCGCGCGGTTTCACTCTACGCTCTACGTATTGGAGGGGGGGCCCCACGAAGCCTGACGAAATCACCTGCGCGGACCAAAATAGCGAACGGCGTTGGAGATATTTTTTACTTTTCCGTGCGACTTTCGAGATTGCGGGATTAGATAGCAGCTGAGGGCCAATGGGAAGACTGTTAGTGATTCTGCCGCCCCCCGCTGCGCGATGTTGGACGTCATCAAAGCGCGTATCAGGATCTAAAAAAGTACACGGGGCCCTTTAGCATTTTCAGTTCCCGGCGAAACAGTGAGAGCCACGTCCTCAAGATATTTTGGTTCTTTCCATTTAAGATATTAAGACCCACCTTGCCCCCTTTGGATTCATCCATGTACGGATTCCCTTCCGATTTGCTCTTTTACTCGGGATCTTTAAGATATTTGCCCTCGACTTACTACTCGACCGCGAGGTAAAGTTTGATCGCTTTCTCCTCCTTCCATTCATCTCTTACCCCTCATCAATGCAAAGTGATCTGCGTTTGAATTGAGTATGTAAGTGATCCGAACTCTCTTTCTGTGATTTTAATAGAAACCAGAATTCCGTTCGATTGAATGATTGCAATAATAATTTAGACATATATATTCTATTCAATTCGACAGCAGATTGGTTGAATGGTGTAATATCTCTAAAAGTGAAGTGGGTTATGGGGAAGATCACATCAAGGATAGAATGAGAAATGATATCAAGCTCTCATGATGTCATAATGTAATTCAAATCATTCAATTTTTTCGATTATCGAATGGTTTTCCAGTAGCGGTTTCATTTCAAGATGTTTTATTGATCGAAATTGTTCTATTGGAAGGATTTTATTTGCTTTTTTTATTTGCTTTACATTTTATGAAAAATACGTTTTTTAATCAATTATACAAGAGATTAGGACGAATTTTTTTTTTCATATTCAATTCTACTCACACTATACCATTTATATGCTAGAATTTTTACACATATATTTTTGGATTTTAGATATTTCTTATAACTTCAAAGACATAGAACTAAATAAATCATTCTTCGTATAATTATAGCACAACTCATCCAAAAATGTTTAGACTTTCAATGGTTGTAATGTAAATAATCTATTGTACTTTCAAACGACTTCATGTGGTAGATACACAACCATCAACTAATTGTAATTGAATTACATCCCACCAACTATTAAATAAACTTATCCAAAGTCTACTACATGGATATTCTATATTCTCTAAGATCTTGCTGAATTTATTTATATATATTGCTGCACAATTTTGGCATTTTAATGTTCATACCATCCTTTCAAAATACACCAGCACCAGCATGTTTAATACTTTTTATAAACTTCTATATCATTTTCTAAAGAAGTTATGTGTTGGTATCGAAAAGGATAATCACTGTTAAATCTTGCAAGAAGAATTCTTCCGTGTTGATTGATATATGTATATATATTAAAATATTTATTTATTTATTTTGCTTATTTATCAATCTTTCTTTCTCATCGTGCGACCGAGTTTAGAGAAGCTTTTTTCTGGTTCTTACCTTTCAGGAGAAGACGAATGGATCGATAGACCTTTGAGCTTACATCCACAGAAAAGGGGATACGTAGTGATTCGATTCGAGCTCGATATGGAGGCCGCAGGACAGCGATTCAAAGTGCTCGCAGAGTAAATAAAATGCACTCCAAAAAAAAGCCACGAGTCCGAGTCGGTGTAGAACGTAGCAGGAGCAGCTACATCTGTCGGTCGGCTTCCATGGCTTTTCGTAAAGCCTCGGAAAGTAATGAGGAATGGTCATACTCGACGCAGGAGGAGTGCTCTGGATGCGAGGAGTCAGAAGCAAGAAATATGCAGCAAAAGCGATGCGCCGAATCCATTGCACCGATCGTACTCATCCGGGTCTCGTCACTTCGATGCCTGACTCGTCACCGCAATCGATGATTGATGTGGCCGTGGAATCTCTCCAAATCATACGCAGCTGCAGCTGCCCCAGAAGGTCACTGTTGTTGCTCGCTTGCCGAATATGGTTCAGAGATCCCCGATTGCATTTTTTTGGTTGACAAAGCTCGTCGCCTTCCCCTTTGGCGACGAGCTTTTTCCCCCGGTTCTATTCGTTCCCGAACGTATCGAATTCAGAGCAATGTATATTCTACTCATCGGGAGAAACGAGAATAAACATTAAAATGGCATATACCCGATAGACCCGAAGATGTGTTGTTGTCCGGCAACACGAGCATGGAAAGTTGTGTGTGGTAGATATGGTACTCATTTGGCCAAGGTGCCAGAGATGGACGAACAGCGTGAATGATGAGTAGGATCGAGTAACATGCACACGGGCGGAATCTCAAGTCACTGAGTTGGAAATGGGTTCATGAGGTGATGCCTACAATATTGGCCTGCGCAGAGGTGTGATGGTTTGACATGTTTTACTTAAAGCTGGCCTGTCACGAGTCACAGCGAACATCACAAACAGTTGTCGTACTCTGTAGCAGCCATAGATATGCATTGCGAGATCTGTCAGGAATCAGACGGTTGAGTTTCGAGAAAAAGTTGCCGAGAGTATCATCCACATTTCGGTGGGAAAATTCTTCCGGCAGCCAGACGGGTTTTGTTACCGAGAGCTCGACGTGAGTGTCACTCCCCACCGACGGAGGGACGAAATTGCGTCGAGCTCTCTCCATATCCATCTCCACTTGATCGGGTGAAAAAGGGTGGAATGGAACTTGAGATCTTCTGGGTGTGGAGTGTGGCCCCAAGCCGATGTCAGTGGAGGCGAGGCCCAGTGAAGGCCACCAGTCGCAGGAGGTAACATGTCACACACCTCGGGAGCTCCCGCAGATTTCATTTCTCCCTCGGGAAAGATGGGGAAGAGATGAGGGAAGTCAAGCTTGACCGACCCACTTGAGCGAGCGAGCGAGCCTCGTCACTTGACTCGGGATCCTGCTGCGGCCATTGGCCCCATCGGCATAAACTCGTCCAAGCGCATGTTACAGAATACGACAGGATCACAACACATCACCGGGGATCCTGGCTCCGGCTCTTTCTGCTGTCAGGGCGGGCGGAGGGGGGAGCGGTGTCAGGGCTGCCATCGATTATACAAATGCAAATGCATCACATGCTGCCATCGGGTGCATGAGATATTTTGCTGCATCACTGGGTCGCTCTCCAATTCGCATTTCCTCGTCTGGACTGTGCCAAGGCCTCGTCTGACTCCAAATGCCTGTAAATGACTGTAAATGCCTGGAAATGACGAGCCATGACTGCTGCACATTCAGGCCTCTCGGATCTAACCTGCACCGAGCCCACCGATCCCACCGATCCCACCGTAGCGCCGGCCGGCCGGACCCCAAGCGTGTCAGAGCACCGGACTCGCTCGGATCGGCTGCTGCCAACGAAGAACATGCGTCAGGCAGGGAGACTCTCCCATGGCTCAGAAGGTTGTGAACATGGTCTGAGGACGCAATCAGCCTCGGCGCCCTTTTCAGTTGCCCGATGTGCTCGGGCCCTCGAGGGCAGGCAGGCAGGCCTCAGCGTTGTCCCTTGTGGCCCCCGCTCCGAGAAACAGGTCACCGAGACCGCCCTCCGTACATGCCTCAACAAATGGAGCTGGGCTTTCTCCGAGAGATCTTCTTCTCTCGCACCAGAATCATTCCCGAATGTGTAAAATGTCATTTCCCAGCCCCAGTACAGCGCAGTAACACGTCTCTGGCTGGCCGGCCCTCTGCGAGATCCGGTCCAAGTATTATCCGAGCTCCAGCAAGTGGGTGGGCTCTCGAGTGCATCGTCGTCGTCGTCGTCGTCGTCGTCGAGATCACCAAACTCCAGACACACACGTAAACTCTGATGGTACACGCAGACGGTTGAGTGTTCTGATCGCTCTACTCTGCTCTGCTCTGATCTGTCCGGGTCTGAGCTTCTAGAGATCCCGAGCCGAGCCGTCGAGACCTTTTCCCGATCGCTGAGACCTTGGTTTCTTCGACATGTGGGTGGGAGGGATCGATCTCGTCGTGTGGTTCAGTCAACTGAAAGACCGGGATCGCGGAGCACAACCATGCTGGATGCTGCCTGCCTGCCTGCCTGCCTGCAGGTCAAGCGAAATCTCATAATTTCTTTATCTGCAGCTCCAGAAGATGATTCTGGCGGAGGCCGCATGGTTAGTTTTTTTTCGCGGGTTCTCGAGAAAGGCGACTGTGTCGCACTTATTGATTCTGTGGTACAGAAGAGTCATCGACGGGACGTTCATTTAGGGACCTGGACCCCATACTGGATCGAAATGTACCCATCGGTTGCAGTAGATAAATACTTGGCATCTGACATTTCGCTCGTGCCTTCAATGAACCCGGCGTTGCTGCTGACATCAGAAGGTTTTCCCCAATAGATGTACGATCTGCGATGTGGTTGCTGACATTCAAAAGATCTTCTCCCATGGCGCGGGTGTGCGAGCTTCGGTTCGAGAATTTCTTTTGTTCTGAATTTCCAGAATACTTTTCTTTAATTGTGGCCTCAGAGTGGACGGACCGCTCCATTCGCCATGCGAGCAGAGGAGTGGACGAGCCCCTGTGAGAACAAGTACATGCACATGCGTCAGTCGGCTGCAAGTACAGTACATCTCGCTGGGACCAGGCCGCTCTCCGCATTTGGAGTTCGGAGTTCGTCTTCGGAGTTAGTTCGATCACTGCACACCTCTTTGAGACATGCACATGGAAGTGAAGGACGACGAGAGGCTGCAAGCAACATTCGTTTCAACAGCAGGATGGAAGAAAAAGGAAAATGCAGGGAAAAACTTCCATGAGTGGCATCTGGGGCCTGCACATTGAAGCCTGCCAAGAAATTGTAACATCCACACGCAGGATGTTAGAAACCGCCAGTGTGGCCTGCCTGCATGCCAAGTTAAATGAAGTGGACCCAAATCAAGTCTCACCCACGCATGGCCGATGTCGAAGAGAAAAATGTCAGGGCAATCTTGTATGCTGCATTCGAATGACCAGCAATGAAACTTGTCGCCAGAAATCTGCCTTGCAGATACTGTGAAGGAAGGAGCCAAACGACAAAATTCTGACCTGCACGATAACGAAATCTTACCTCGAAAGACTTTGGTAATGGAACATTTCGAAGTTATAGCAACAGCAGCAGCAGCAGATCTCGTCAGAAAAGTTGACAGAGCGAGGAAGAAAGGAAAAAAAAAGCAAACCTTACCTGCACTTTTGATGGAGATCGTCCGACCCACTCGTATATGAGCCTGAAGTCGTAACTACATTCATCCTTCCAACCTGGAAAGTCTAGTGCGAGAAAGCAATCCCAGGGCAACATATCCGACCTGCACTTGATGCCATGGATAGGGAACTATCAAAACAGCAGATCTAGCCTGTGAAGTCTAGTTCAAGGAACAAATCGAGTAGAAGCATAGCTGACCTGCAGGCCAAATACACTCATGGAATCCCAGAATCTCACCCACTGAATGTCAATGCAAGTGTGAGAGTCAGTGGAATGCATTTTGTACCCAGAAACGTGGTAACAAAATATAGAACAGATAAGGGAGAGAGTAGGAAGCCTGCTCATGAAAGTCGGTGTACCAGGTCCAGAACACCACAACTGGCTCGTTTGGCTGAGTCAGAAGGGTTTACAATTTCCGATATGTGTTACCCTGTCTGCCAGTGACAGTAAAGGACAACTTCAACATCTACTACTGCAGTCCTGATCTGTCCTAGTGACTTATATAGGCGGACAAATCTTTACCATCGTCGCGCAGATTTCTTAGAAGAAGGTGTGTTGGAGTTAGCTTCAATGTACGGTACAGAGATACGATAATATATTGTTTTCAACGGCAGAAGAAAGCAAATCGACTTACGTTAGCCCTGTTGATTTCGGGCGCGCTAAGAATTAATTTGATCGAGTATTCCTTGTAATTCATTACGATATGTGATCGTGATTTAGTCGTGAGGGAGTGGAGAAACAGATATGTGAATTCTTCTCTAGTCGTGAGGGAGTGGAGAAACAGATATGTGAATTCTTCTCCAGTGCTTAGCGTGAGAATCAAAACTCGTATGGTATCAGTGAGCATTAAATCGCTGAAAGACCATGAAGGAAGAGTAATCTTGCCAGAACTAGAAAATGGAGTGCAAGAAAGTTTCCTGAAGATCCAGGTTTGCTCTGTGGCTGCTTATTTCCTCGTGAGTCCATCTCAAGTTGAGATTTTAGCTCAAATCATCGAGCAGAGTTTCCTTCTATCCGTCCACCTTGTTTATACACTTGATGTTAAGTATTTCTCATTAGGAACTTTGACATTGCAGTTGTGAATTAGAATATAAGAGACAGCATGAAGAGAATGCAATCTACAGGCTTGCTCAAATATGCATCGCTTGCTTTCGGGCGATCTTAACAACTTCTAGAATATGAGCAAGTAAAGAATCTGGCGATAAGGAGTGGTTGATACGAACAAACATTAAACTTTACAGCGCGAGGTTCCATGGAGTGTGTACCTCAAGCTGGTTTGGAGATGCTTACAGCTGTGCATATCGACATCTTCTTCAGAGAAAAATGACCAACGATTCGATTCATCTTCAGCTGCTACCTTGATTGAGAGCAGACTCCAGTACAAGCCAATTGATCGCTGCTCGACCTTGTTGCTGGTCGGTGGGTATGGGAAACGACATGTGTATTCTTTCCATGTTGTAGATCTACGTTTTAACAAATTCAGAACAGGGTTAAAAACTCAACTGAGGTTATCTGACCAGTTTGTACAGCTAGAGGTTGCGAAACTCGGAGACACCATATTCTTCAAATCAAACAAAGAACTCTGTCAGCATAGTTGGCATGGCATGGTTCACGTCTCATGGTATGGTGTGACTGCAGCGTGAGGATCTTCCTCCTTTGTTCCTTTACAGTTCTTTGCTATATTCCCGTGGAGATTCTAGTTGTATCCCTGAAAGCTTGAGTCGACAAGTATCCGTCGTTGTATTGACCAGCATGCCTCATCCACTGCTTCTAACTGTGACTACTTCAAATGGAGCCTCAAGTGAACTGATAAGTTCTGATGACGCACTGAGCGAATTTTGTACGACGTGGCTGCATATGCCAGGTCCAAACAAAGTGCTTGGCGCAAGCGTTAGTCCAGGCTCTGAGGCTCCGAAAGCAACGGCAGCACTCACTCTCTCTTCAAATTCGCAGAGCAATAAGCTATGCCCTTCGAGAACACGAACATATTACCAGTTTCAAGAATGCTGGTAAAAAGGGCTCTTTGGTGCTGTCCCAAATCGCACCTTCAGCTAAAAACTGATTTCACCGTCACCAGCATGAGCACGAAGAGGAATGACTCCTCTGGGCTTGATTTTGACAGCAACAAATGAAATACCCAGGCGAGTAACGCGTGGCAGAAGCCACTTTCAGGCTGTAATTCACGGTTGGCATTGCAGCTCGATCGGATAGTCGACTGAACGAGAAATCAGTATGCATTTACGCCGGCTGGAACGATGAAGTCTGTCAGCAGATCTTGATCTGCAGCATGCTCATAAGACTGAAGTACCTTGAGCTACAGAACAATGGAAGACAATGTGAAATTGGCATCACATCCAGTCAATCGGACCCGAATAAAAGTCTACTCAGATGTGAGGATGAAACTAGAATTGCAGGTATCCTGTCAATCTCTGACACTTGGGATGCGGAATTTGGTATCAATACTGCATTAATCTCATCATAGGACCCGAAGCCCTGAGTACACACAGACGAAGTGTGTTCACGCATGTTGATTCGTGTATAGAACGTGCCAATGATTCTACGGGATAAACTGGATTACCGAATACAGCATACGTTTTAACTGATGTTCGAGTGCACAGATACACAGAAGTTCGATCTGAAAGGGTGCTCTGCTCATAGAAAGAAGCCAGAATTCTGTTGTCCTGTCTCGTATCATTGGTTCTCCTTAGGTCTTTAAAGAGTAGTACTGATTCTGGATTGAGTGACTTCATACAGAATCATTCCTGCCCTCATACATTCCAAGAGAACGTGTAGTTATTCCCTAGCGTTCGATATTTGGAGACGCTATCTCCTCTCAGACGAGTTTTGGGCTGTTTTCATTGCCAGAAACTGGTACTGACAGAACACTGACTGCCTTCTCCGAAATGCACCGGGTCTTGTGCTGGCATGCAACTCAGTTTTGATAACATTTGCAGTAGAAATCGGACGAGGAATGCCGTCGCGGTCTTGGTGTATGCCTGCTTGTCACTGCCACCGGTTATAATGTCAATCAATGCAACAAAGACTTTGAACTCGTGTGGAACCATATATCTGAGATTGGACAGAGTTCCACCTCTGATGAACTACTGGTCAGGAATTTCATGTCATGCGATGATTTGAGAGCGAAGAATTCGACGTGGGAATGCTCTTCAAGAATCACAAACTAAATGTTTTCGTTTCTTGAACGCGTTAGTTACAGCTTCTATCTCTGTCACATTTGGTTTGCCTCTGAACCACTCTCTGCAGGCGCATGACAGCAACTCTCACTTCCGCATATTCGACCACGTGGAACTGTCCGTGGCAACTTGGGGCAGCCATGATGAATTTGTAGTCACAACGTCAGAAGGACATGCATGCTGGCAATAATGGGGGACAGCAGAATTGGTCCTGAAGATGTGAAGAGTTTTTCTCCGAGGACCAATTTGCATAGTGCGAGTACAAGATACTCACATCGTAATGTTTGCGGTAATTAACTTCCGGGGTTATATCGCCCAATCCAGGAGTTGATTTATATCGAGAAGCCCAGAAGAGAGAAGAGTGGACACAGCCTCGACAAAAACTCTTTGACGTTGCTTGTTTACGTTATCCTGATGGGCTGGAACCTCAGTTTCAGAACAGCTTGTGTTCACATCACTCCTCGGAGATTACACACTTGAGGGCCATTGTCAAATGAGAGTAATGCTCTTGTTTGAGAATAGTAGTCACGAGACTTGAGGTGCTCGAATTCCATAAAACAAGTTTGTCTGAAGATTTGAGTTTAACGAAGTTAGAGTTGCGTGCAGAGCTACATGAGGTATCAATTCATGCCACTCTTGTGATGTTAATTCTGGAACAATCTTCACAGAGACATACTGTTCTGTCTAACGATATAAATTACTGTTTTTCAATGTAAAATTTACATTATTTGACTGATACTGCCCGAACTACCTTGAAATGAGCCTTCAAGGATCCCAAACGACTTCTGCAAAATAGCTCCTCAGATGGCGAATCCAACAAGATTGGCTAAAAGACGAGTGCAATCAGGCTCTGAACTACCAAATGTAGCCACAGCTTGCACTGCAGTGCTGCTACTTAAATTGGCGTAATAATGTTCTACAGACTCAGGGAAAACAAATATGTCTTTACGGCTGAGCAGGCCGGAGTAAAAGCTGTTGGTGATGTTACCAAATCCCACTTTCAGCTGGCCAAGAAGCATGAAATTTGTTTCACTAGCGCGCGAGTGAAGATGAAGAGGAATTGAGTCCCTGAGGCTGACGATAAGACGGATGGCTCCCTGAGGCTGGAGTTTCAAGGTGGCAAAAGACACTCCGAGGCCTGAGGGTCCTTGAAAGTGAGACGAGAAGGCCATGTCAAGGTTGAAGCTTTTCCATGGGCGAGATCAGCAGTCAAAGAATCGCAAAGCCTGAGAACTCACCATCGAGTTCCGAGGCATTTAGACCTTAAGGAATGAAGAAATCAGTGAACACGACAGTAGTTTGGATCTGAATCACTAATCCCACACTCAGAATAAGTAGTAGCCCAGCGAAAGCAATTGTCTGAGCCATCTTTACCAGTCATACGAAGGCTTCACGATTTCCTGGTTACTGCCACTTTGGCAATTGGTTGAAGTTCTGGTTTCACGCATGTAACGCTTGATGGGTTCTTCCTATCCTGTTTGCTATATTTTGCTTGCTTGTGTAGGATCTGATGCACCAGCTACTTGATATTTGCCTTTCGTTGCCATGTTCTGATTTGGTTGAAACAAGTGTCCTGTTATAGTCCAATGCTTCGCATCGTATTCAGATGGGAGCTAAGGACTGAATAAGTAGAAGGCCGAACTCCTAATGCGGTGTCGACAACTTATGTGAGAACTCACGATTTTACCTCGTGTGCCATAGGCACCATAGGCACTAGAGGACAGTATATGCAACCCAGTGGGACAGGACATTCAGGCCGGACTAACATTGTCCGAAAGTGTCATGTTTTGAATGAAATTTAAAGCTTGACATTCGTATAATTATTGTCAATACACGAGTTCAGCATCCATATCAGAATAATAACATTTGAATGAATGAATGAGTCTTTTTCTCTATCTTGACACGGGTTTCCCGTTCGTTTTCATCTCTGTACGGCTTAATGGGGTCTTCCGATCTATTTGTGCTATCCACTTGGCCCTTCTTTCGTTTCTTTCTCTATCCTAGGCAAGCATGATTGCTCATAGAGGTATGAAGAACATTGTAGACGAAACCAGCTTCAAAACGTCGTCGTGCATGCTATGAACTTGGAGCAAACTTCACACTCAAGATCTTGCACTCATGCGAAGAGGGGAATGTCCAACAAAGGTCCCTGCCTATATCTCACTCTCTTCGTGCTCTTTAGAAAACAGACAAATTTCGGCTGGAAATTTGGGTTTAACCCTTTTAGCTAATCAGAAAATTGACGAGTGCGATTATTATCATCTGGATTCAAAAGCTTTAAAGAAGCAGTAAACTGATTTGACAAAACTAAACTCAATCAAGGAGTCTTTTATTTCTGACATCAGGTTTGCCTTTAAGCAGAAATCCCGTCAGAAAGTCTCAATTCCCAGCGTTTCAAAGTCCTGCCCATCAGAAGTCCCGCAAGTTTATGGCTATTGTTGATGCTACCTATAGACACAGATGTTTGAAACTGCTTTTGCCCCTGGTGCCCGTTCGGTTTCATCCTCGTACGGCTTGATGGGATCTTTCCTTACTTTTTGTTATCCACTTGGACCCCTTCGTCGGTGAGTTTAGTTACAAAGCATTGTTAACCATCTTCGAAGGGCCAAGGCGTGATCTACTTGGTCTTCGACCATTCTATCAAGAATCAAAGATTTAGTACTGATCAAGTCAGAATTATGATTCTTTCTTGGAAATAGCCTTTTTCCTAATCGTTAATCGTTAACTAGAGATGCTAATCGTTAACTGATCCAAGGCCCATCAATTATGTACGCTGAAAACATTGTGACTTGCAGCTAGGTTACTGCTGTAGGGAATTGAGGTGTTGGTGCACTTCTAGGCTCAGAGCTTCAGCGCGGGCATCCAAATGAACTCCTGGAGTCGTTTGCTCAAGTCTTCTGGTGCTAAATGTGAAGAGAATGTTTCATTCGGCATTGTCATATTTGGTTCCATAAACCCTGGTACCGATTCTATCTACGGAGTTCTGGGATAGCAGATATTACATCATCTGATGCTTGACTTGTGCTTCCTTGTGCCTGATATTCGAGTACCGATGCCCTTCATGAGGAATGGATACGAATCATATAATAAGATCAAAAGTTTCTAACATGGCTATTCATCAATTCATCCATCTCTGGATAAATGACTCATAATCAACTTGTGATGCATTAAAATGGTTGATGCTTTGCCAGCATGCGCCTTTGAGTGCTTTTATTACTGACAGAGTACGATACAAGTATGAAAATGGTCTTGTAGCCTACAAGGTCAGGACGGTCATAGGACGAAAGTCAGCTTCTTCAAGCAAACTTCAAGCAAACGTTATGAAACTGATGTTTCATACAGCTTCAATGACATAGAGCTTTTGGTTGTGCCAAAATCATGGTCTCTCTTAGCACAATGAATCAGGACAAGTTTTACGGAAACTCGTGCACTGGTGGACTCGTATCATCCGAGCTATCTGGCAACTGATGGGCAATGAAGACACTTTAAACGACTTCTGCAAAACAAGTTTTGCGATGCCGGATCGAACGAGATTTGCTGCAGCAGGTTGTAACTAGGCTCTGCACTGCCAAACGTAGCAGCAGCAAGCACTGTATGCAGTGCTGGTAGCTAGATTGGATCGGCGTAGTAATGCACTAGAGGCGGAGTACACTTTTTTTTCGCTGTCAACGAATCCAACTTGAGTTGGGCAGCAATGACCAGAATGATTTCACTGTCACCGAGTGAAGGTGAAGAGGAACTACTCCCTGAGATTGGAGATCCAAGGTGGCCAAAGGCACTCCGAGGTTCGCGAGAGCTTGATTCCATTCTCGAAGATTTTTTTATCGGCGATATCGGCCGTCAAAGAAGGTGACGAATTCGCCTTCGAGTTTGAGTCCGAGGCAATCAGACCTTCATGAATGGAAAAGTCCGTCAAAATATCAGGGTCCGCAGCTTGGATCTCGTTCAATATGCCAAGAATCTAGAGAAGAACGGGTGGAGTGAGATCCACGAGGAGCACACACACTGACAGCATGCTCAGCGTGTTGACCGGCTGCTGGTGCGGGCGAGATCCCTGCTATTTCTATATGCCTCGAATGCCTCGAATGCCACAAAGTGCTGCGTAACGACAGAAGTACTGACGATGGTCCGGCATGTACGAGGAAACAAGAGTCGCGTCGCTCAGCTCAGATCTGGCAGGAGCCTCCGTCCTCCTCAGAGAAAAAGATAGGAGCGCCGGTACTTCCTGTACTATGGAATGTACTTGGACCCAGCTGTTCCGACAATTGTCTTGGACTTGATGGATGTTTGAGTTGTGCAGATGAACTTGAAATTCATGTTTCTCATCGATCGTTGCCTCGAACCAAAGTCGATTTCTTTATTTCGGGCTGCAGATGCAGAGAGACGCATGCGAGAACACGCAGCTCCGTGCTTTCACAGCAGGATGACGATGCCATAGCTACTTTCGGAATGTGGACAATCATGCTCTGACCGGAACTGAGCTCGCAGTATGAAAAGAGCGATAGTCTGTCAATTCACACATATCCTGAAGATATGTCCAACTCCCGAAAAATGGTGTCGCAATTAAGTTTTCTGACATTATTGCTGCCTGCAGATCAAACATGTCTCGTCCGAAGCGACGGCGAATTTTATGAAGCTATTGAGCTTTTTATAATGGGGTTGTACTGAAGGACAATACACCGGATGACTATAGACTTTCGATATCTTCGTCAGTCAAGGAGGAAGAGGAATATATGTCGACGCACTGCCGCAAGTGATGATGATTCTCAGATCCAGGCTGGAGGTCGCAGTTGCAGAGATGCTTCGAGTTTAGATTAGATTCGTATGGTTGCATCGGGAAGAAAGGCAGAGGACGATATGATCGTTATCATCATCGTCAGTTGTGCGGAGTTGTGCCTCAAAGTGCATTTGTGTACTCACTCCCTGCTCAGCATTACTGCTAGATTCCTGACCGTCGTGTGTCAGTATGACTTCAGTTTGCAATTCGACTCAAATCTGCATGACATTGTGTGCCTCGTCATTCTCGCTCTTATTTTCTCTTGAACGTCAAAGGTTATTAGTGGCACAGCCATTTTGGGATTTTGGGTTTTAGCACAGGGCTTATCAGATTGATGATTTTACTTGAACGAGGAACTTTGAAGGCATGATTCAGGCTTAGATTTGATCATCTCTTTCTCGTGGACTGAGGTCAATGCAGCGAGTTCATCACCGACTGGCCGGACTGCACATGCACCTGAACCTCGAGACGAACACCGAAGGTGGGTCCAGGTGCATATCGGCGAGAGGTTTCTCGCGCATTCCAAGCTCGAGCTTGTGTGCATTGTCATGACCATGGAAACAGGACTTTCATTGGTGCTGAAGATGACACGCATCTCGATCAATGATCACGATCACGGCGCAGAAAAGGAGCTCGCAAATTTAGACACCTTGGAAAGTGCGAAAACATTCGATCTTCACAGCTCGATGGCAGTTATCAGAGCGCTATCGTATCCTCTTTCTTCGAGCTCCGAAGAGGGTGCAACAGAAATGCATCCATCCCACATGAGAATGAGGCTGATGCACCTCGATATGTCCTGCTCTTCTCGAGGGACTTGAGCAAGACATCCTGCGTAACAACAAGATCAGAAACGACCAAATGACTTGAAATTCTATTAGTGTCACACACACCAGACACTGGAAGTATCGTGTAAAGGAGAACCAGTAAAATCAATGATACAATGAAGTCGGTCCTAGTTGTGGCCCGTCAGCCGAATCAGATCATGGACACTGTGCCCGATTGACTGTCGGCGTGAGAGCTCTTCATCTGATTGAACAGACCCAGGCCAAAGAGCCCCGACGGAATAGTAAACATGATCATAAGACCACGATGAGTGGTGCGGACTAACAAGATTCCCCTCCCTCAACACGAATCGATTGATCCTCTAATTGATCGGGCAGTCGAGTCTACCTAACTAAGTTGTGTACAGTCATGACATGTATGATGATCGTCTGAGCATCGATCTATCTAAGCGGATGAGTGCTTCAAATTAGTGCATCGCTATCCCGTATTTACAGTCTTCGATCTCGGGTTCTACTGCTGCTGCTGCAGCAGCAGCAACTGATGCTGCTGTTGTTGATTGATGTTGTGGCGACTGTCAATTATGCGAATTATACATCAGCCGCGCGAGAACTCACTGGGATTTGAGTTGGGATTTAGAGTCACACTACGGATTGTTCTGAGGATCATGGCTTGCACTTTTACTGTAACTGAAACAATTATCGAAGGCCCGGTTGAGAACTTTGAGAGGGTACGGCTTGCTGCAAGTGAAACCGCCGTCGAGAACGAAGTTCTGGCCAGTGGTGTAAGAAGCATCATCACTGGCGAGAAAGAGAGCAGTGCGAGCGAAGACTTCGGCCCTGAGTTTGGCGCCTTTGAGCTCAGAGATCTCGTCCATCATAGCGCTGTATTGATCGAGAGTGAGGTTCTCGCAGCCTTGCAGCTTCTGCACTCGGCGGAGCTGAGCATGCGAGGCGATGGCCAACGGGGAGATGCAGTTGACACGGATTCCATACTTGCCCAGCTCCGCCGCTGCCTGGCGGGTGATTCCAGGGATGGCGGACTTGGTGAAGGCGTAAGGCGAGGGAGCCGAGCCTCCGACGACTGCTGCAACGGAGCTCGTCGAGATGATCGAGCCGCTTTCTCGGGGAATCATGACACGCGCTGCGTATTTGAGGCCGAGCACGACACTTCTGACGTTGGTGGCGTAGATCTTGTCGAAGTCGTCGATGTCGACGTCCTGGATGCTGGTGGTGCGGCCTCCGACGCCGACGTTGTTGTGCAGGATGTCCAGCTTGCCGTACTGCTTCACGGCCTGATCTATGACTCCGGCGATGTCCTTCTCGTTCAGCACATCGCAGTGGAAGAAATTCGCGCTCGGGCCCAGCTCTTCGCACAGCGCTCGACCTGCTTCGTCCTCCACATCTGCCACGAACACTCGAGCTCCGTGTTCCACAAACGCTCTGGCGCAACTGGCTCCGATGCCACTCGCGCCCCCCGTTATCACCGCCACTCGCCCCGCCAGCCTGCATTCGTTCAAAGCATTGCCAGTCAGTCCCCGGGCGACATGTCCATCTGCAGGAGCACCCATTGAGCATTCATTGTCTACATCCAAATCTCATCTGAGGCCACTCTTTCTCAAGTATCTGACAGAAGGTGTTCAGCCTCTCTCGAGCAGAAATCGAGTTGGACATGAACGCTTAAGACTGCAAGCTCACTAATACATTTTGTCGAGCACCACACAACTGCAAAACGTGGGCAGCCACAAGGAACAGGCTCACGGATCCACATTTGGTTGGATCCGGCTTCGACTCTTTCCTATGTCTGCACCTGAACTGAGGTTGCTGTCTCCAGATCTTCAGCAACTCGTGAATCTGAGCAGCTCGTAGCTTGCTTGCAACACAACTTCATCATGCTCATGCCAAAGCTCAAGAGTGAGACGCTGAAGGTTTAGTTCTTCGACTCTTTGGCCCTTTATCTTAGCAACCACGAGGTTGCCAAGGGAAAGCGCTTGAGGCGCTTGAGACACCCAAACTCTGACGAGAAGAAACTGACAAAACATGTGATTACAGGTTTGTTCGTCTAGATATCCGAGCGAGAGGGTAGATGAACATACTTTGCAGATGGCGCAGCTGGCTCTGGAGAGCTAGTGTGCATCGAGCGCGGCCTCTTTGGTTGAGAGTCGGGTCTAGGTTGCGGTGCATTTGGGCACAGAAGACCACATTGTGAAAGCTTGACTTGCAGATGTCGTCCTCTGTTAGCACATACATTTCACGAAGAGCATCAGTGACAGATTCTGAACCAACCGGGCCAACCGATCATACTCCAAGAGATGTCAAATCAGGCAACAAGTCAGAATTGTGTGATCCCTAAGGAACATATCTTTCTGTAGCTCTGGATCAATTTGAAAGCCCAATTCTCCGCCGTCATTCGATCTCTGACTATTCAGAACATTCGTTTTCTAGTCGTAGTGAGCCCGCCTTCCGAAGCCTACTATGGTGATTACGTGCACGACGGTCGAAAATTCATTGCACTTATTTACGTGAAGGGTCTGAACTCAAAACATGTGCCTCAAAGAGTCATCTGAGAAAGGCCGGAGATCAAGATGTAAATAAAGTATTGCGCAGTCAGTCTTGGATTCCACTGGGCGGAAAAACCAAATGGTGAATGTGCACACGCAATAGCGCGTGAGTTCTCCGACCAAAGGCGACCACACCTGAACGTAATTTGATCAGGCCAGGCAGACATTGCATTCATCGTACCCACTAATGAATGACACAGCATGTGACAGCTTACCGAGCTATTCGAACGACTTGCATTTTTCCGATGACGATCCCTGTGTAGCACAGATCGCACGAGGCTCACTCACTCACTCACTGCAGCAACGACTGGTGCTCGGAGATTTCTGTACAGCCCTTCGACAGTGCAGTGGATCTGCACAGAGACGAGGTCGAGCTCCGAATGGCATGCGCAACTACACACTCTTTGCTCGATCGTCCAATTGGAAGACCTGCACTCCTGCTCCGGCTTTTGACTCAGAGCTTTCCCGAGACTGCTACGTCACTGACCGTGACTGTCTGTGCAGTCCTCCGGGTCTTCATGAGACAGATCAAACACACGATGCTCCTGATCGTCCGTCGGTTGTTGGGGAGCAAATCCAGAGCGACACTCTTTCACATCCCGGAAGCGAGGAAAAGAATCCTCCCCGTCGACTTTTTGCTCATCTCTCGGCTCGATCTGAACATCGGTAAATGTAATTGGTCAACCTCTGCAGGCAGCGACTGCACGGAATGCGCCCCAGCGCTCTGAAACACGCGCATGCATGCACGAGCGAGCAGGTTTCCAGCGTTTCTGTCTCGATGGATGTTGGAGACTCGACTGCGAAACAGGGATGGAACTATTTGCAAGCCGACGGATGTCGAGGCTGAGTACGTGCGGGAGTTAGGGCCTGGCATCAAAACAGTACGCGCACCTCGAGCATCTTCCAGTTGACTCGCTATGATCGGTCGAAAACTTGGGGAAGGAAGACATTCACCCAAAGTCCGCTCCGTCGGAATCCTGCTTCGAGATGCTCGAGGGTGGCCTGATTCTGCTCGGAAGATGCTCGAACACTCACGGGCACTTGCTTCTTCTGGTGAGGAGCTGCGCATGAAAATCAGTCGCCGGCAGATTTTGCTCTCACGCAGATCCAGATGCTCGATCACCTGCGCCTGCAAACACCTGTTCACTCTGCGGATCGACGACGTGCTGTCGATGCGGCAGAGCGAACCCACTGTGACATGTGCATGCGGGCAAACGCCAAAACCTCCGGCTATTTTGCGCTCGCGCTTGGATGATTCTATATTCTATTCGGCGCAACGCAGAGCATTCCGAGCCCGAGCGAGCTGGAGAATCCGCAAGCCGGCTCGAGCAGACGTGGTGCAGAAGCTGCCTCGGTTCGCATGCCGGCCGGAACCAGGTCCATCTCCACGCCTCCCCTTCCTCCCGCCGTCCCGGTTGTCCTTTGCAGTCACGCTCCGAGGGGTGCCATGCCTCCCTCTGCCATGCGTGTGCTGCGCAGTTCCACTACGCCTCGTCTGGACTCGGCCTCATCAATGCTCGAGCTCCAGACCTCGCGCTCTCAGTCGCCTTTGTTTCTATTGCTGAAATTGGTGCAAATCTTGGCGCTAATATAAGAAAGTGGACTGAAGAAAAGTGCACCGCTTTGGCATGTGTCATGACTGGAGTTCATGCAGCACGCCCTGTCGCAACCCGCATCCCCCTCCTGGGGGTCGAAGGTCGAGTCCGTCAGAGTCTGTCGATTCGGCTTCACTCCTGGACATGGTCCACTGTGCTCTATCCGTTTCTGGTCTCGAGCTTTGCTTATCCTTTGACCTTCTTCTCACGCTGTCTGTCGTCTGCAGGAATTTCTCGCGTCCTCGGTAGTTGTGCCCTGCAAGTCACCCTGGCCCGTGAAGCTATCTATGGCTTCTCCACACGCTTCGTCATCGTAGCATGGGAATCAGTCGAGTGCCGAGTGCACTTGCAAACAATAATAAGATTCCGATTTTTCCTACATCCAAAGGATCTCATCGTCTCGTCATAACCACGTAAAGTCTGGAACATCAATCGGAAAGTTGCTGTATCATCTCCACTGTGTTACGGATCTCAAAATATGTAGAGGAAACCACGTCGCAGAAAGTTCATCCGCTGTCCTAGTAGTCATAGAAAGAATGAAGATGACATGACATGCCCTCTTGAGCTGCTATGCGGGAATGAAGTATCCCAACCAGACCTTTTCTTTTATCGTGTAGTTGCAATTTTAGCACTCGGTCCCTGGAAGATGGGGGCTCTATTATTGTAAGATTTTTCAGGGACACTGTATATCCTGTTTCAAATGAATAACCGGGAAAAGTGATTTTGAAGATCAAGCACTACATGGATGTATCTGTGAAGCCCAAACTAGTCAGATGATAGCTTCACAAAAGAAGGAAGAAGAACAAAGCTCAAGATGTAGTGGGAGTTGAAATGTGCCGAAATGATCACTGGAGTTCGGGTCAACTGTCGAAATTCCGAACATTGTTTTCTGTGTACTGCGAAGTCTCAGCCTTCGACACTTCCCTCAGCACGGGAATGGATTATTAAAGACTCTCATGCAGCAGGAAATTGGAGGTGCCTCTGCCACTTTCCTGACGCCTATTGCCATACGTGGCCAGGTGATAAAGTACGCTTGCATCTAGAATTCGAGACATGCGAGTCCTGTTTTCTCCAGTCCGACTTGGACGGGACGGAATGCGCATTATGTCAATCACAACCTCTGCCTTGGTGCTGCTGACGGGCATGGCGAGGCCTGACGCTGGTCATGTGTTGACCCCTGTCAGGCTGTAAGTTGACCCCTGACCGAATTTCCACTGAAAAAATCCGTGCCTTGGATCGCTCCATATGGAGTCGAGCCATAATTCGGGGCTCGACTAGAGGCATGCAGACTGAAGAGTGTGGGAATCTGGTTTTTGCCAAGCACTTGATTGAAATATTATTGCTCTTACTACACACACAACACAAACAAACATTCGAGCTCGAGCTATAATACATGAACGAAATCAACAACATTAGCGGGCACATGATTGCAACTGCAATCTAGCAGAAACCATACTATAAGATGTCGTTGACTTAAAAGGGCATAGATGTTTTTTGTCATTTATTCATGTAATAGCTTCAGACAGAGCTTTTATCTTATAGCACTAAGCGTCTACCGTAATACTTCAGCATAATTTGGATAATGTTTACTATGAAACAACTGTGTTTTGTTAAATAAAAACTCACTACTTCCAAAGACACAAGGATTGATGAGAAAAGGAAATGAATCTTCCAATTATTTCAGATTTTAGCTGCAAAGGGGCTGGTATCATTGGGCGAAATGCCAGGTTCATTCTATATCCAAGGCGAGAATGATCGACTGTGTTGTGATTGTGACAGTGCGGCCTAACAAAGATACCCAAAATGAAAATGCTGGAATGAAATTGCTGTACATAATCACAAGATGGACGAGGGACCGGGAAATGGCTATGACATGTGGCTATGGTCTGAGACCCGGTACTCCCTGATCAGGATTCAGTGGAATTTTGGTCAATATGTCATAAAGAGCTTTCCAGCGGTCAAAAAGCTAGAATTACCATCAGCCGCCGCCAGAAACTGGTTCCCGATCTGTGCAGTGAGAGAGATCGCCATGAACCGTCAGAAAGTCGTCGCATCACCAGGCGAATTAGAATGTACGTGTTTATGATTCTTGGCCTGTAGCCGGATTTCTCGTTTAGTATTATGGACATTAACACATCAGCAGTGAATATAGAACGTGTCACGTACTTTAAGCTATTGTGAGCTTATTCTTTCATCCTGCGACCGACGCTAACCGAAGCTATTTCATCCGAAGCTAACCGACGAGCGAGATTGACTGCTACAAGTTGAAGCTTCACATGACGTTCCACTGAGAAATATGTAACAAAATTTACAAAGTAAAATGACCAAAGAAAGTATGGTAAGATATATAAAGTACAACAATGAGAACAATATATGACATTATGTATCAAGATTTCCAATTTATATAAATTAAATGGTGTGTATAGATGAAATCTTCCCAAGAGTTTTCACCCGGTATGATTGTTATTATATGCATAGTAGAAAAGCCAACATAATATAACATATCACTTTATATGCATAATTAGATAAAGCGTGCATTAGTGTGAGAGTTCACGAGTACATGGCTTTGATCATTTGATAAATCATTCTCCTCACTTGCGTACAATAAGCGGATTGAGCTAAATTTTTAAGCCAATATGACTTTTGAGGCGTTGGAGAAGATTATCGGAGTTTTGAGCCAAAGAGACGGATCTGAATGACGAAAAGAACAGAGTTTAGTAAAAATTGCTGATTTTTTGTGATGCATTTGTAGTGTAAAATTCCCCACCGAAGAAGAGCACAAAGGGCCATTCAAAGTGATACTATTAATTCTAGTAACAAACACGTCCAAGATGAAATAAGTAACATAGAAGAATAGCAAAAAAGACCATCCAAAGTGACGCTACTAAATCAAGGAATAACATGTACATCATTAATTCAAGGAACAAACATCTCGATGTTGAAGATGAAGATAATAAAATAATCTAATATGGTAACACCAATATTAATAAGTACACAAAGATCATAGCTTTACCTATTTTCTTAAAACTCTATGAACTAACGTCATTGAAGATGCTTGAATGAAATCTTTTCGAGAGAAACGAATCAAAATGGTGCAGAACATACATCAATTAACTCAAGATAAAGAAGATAAGTCAAAAGAACTTTGTTGTATTCATCTTTAGTTTGTTAAAATCAAATCAAAGTTTATTCAAGATAAAGTTATAATTACCTTGTAGTGCACTATTTATGATTGTTACATTCATGATATGTGTGTTTAGTATGTAAAGAGTAAATATATCAATTCACATGTGGTACACCGCTTTTGGTATTTTTGAGGAAATTAAAACATTTTTGGAAAACTGTACCGCGGCAGCAGTGTAAATAGCCTTCGGTGCATCAAAACAGAGTGAATTCGGAAGATCGCAGAGATTCTCACGGGAACTCGTAGGATCGAGGAGTAGGGTGCAACGTCAGGGACGAACACCGCACTCCCTGCGAGCTCTGAAGGTATGATCCCTTCGGCGCAAGGCGCAAAATCCGCCTTTGGTGCTAGAGGAATCCTTCAGAATTGGGTCAATCCCCTAACGCCTTGACTTGATTAGGGTTTTGTTGGAAAGAGCTTGACGCGCTGATTTCAACGAGCCCAAAAACGTCACAAACGGATGAGGACTCCGGGAGTTATGAAGGTCGCAAGATACTCAGCTTTCCGCCTGCGCACAGGCGAAGAAAGTTTTGTCCTATGCGCGGACGAAAACAGTTCGCCTACGCGTAGGCGAAATAGGGTTTTTGACGTAGGCGCGAATGTCGCCTACGCACAGGCGAGGAAACCTCTGCCCAGGCGGACGAGCGAAGTTCGCCTACGCACAGGCGGTCGCCTGCGCACAGGCGCTAAGGCGTCGGCGGGAAATCTGCCTTCGGCCCTAGAAATGCGCCTTCAGAGGTAGAAATTGTACGGCGCCTTCCGCGCCAGCGCAACAGCGTGGACGGGGGAGGAACCGCCGGGGTAGTAAAATCCGTACGGACCGTACGGACGGGACGGATGGATGCGCTCTTGGTCGGACGGAGTTGCGGCAGCGAGAGCGCCGACGGAGAGACAATAGACGGACAGTCTGGACGGAGTCTGTTGACCGCGGTCAACGCCTTCCGCGCCAGCGCAGCAAGCGGACGGAATTCGCCTACGCGCAGGCGAGCGCTTACGCACAGGCGGGTGAAGTTCCGCGTCGGCGGAGATTCCGCCGGGGATTCCGCCTGCGCACAGGCGGGAGTTTAACTTTTGTCCGATGCGCGGACGATCGCCTTAGGCGGAGGAGGATTGGCCGAGGAGCGGTACGAACGAGTGTACCGCGCAAGGCGGAAAAGACGCCTTCGGCGTTGCGCACCTATGTCCGCGGCGTAGTACGCTCGCGGAGTTCAAATTCGCCAATTCGAGCGTGTGAGTTAAATCGGCGTCGGCGGAGCGTGAAGCCGCGCGTGAGAGCGGAGACCGTTTTAGCGTAGAGCCGGCGCGGCCATCAAGTGATTCGACCCTCACGATCAAGAGCCGACCATGACCTTCGACCGGGAGACGGAGAGCGCCCCATTCTTGAATTCGCGATTCCATTTTCTAGTGCGAGCTGCGCGCGTCCATCTGCTAGCTGCTAAGCATTCCAGACATCGCCGCGCAGAGGATTACTTGTTGAATGAGAGAGAATTGAGTGCGCGCGATTTGGAATTGAGTGAGATTAGAGTTTGCCGAGGGAGCAAGGAGCTGGAGCGGAGCAGAGAGAGAATTAGCGAGCAAGCGAATTCCAAGAACGCAATGTCGAAGCTTAACCGATTGCGGATGCTGCCGCTCCGGCTTCCACAGAACGGGTTGCGCGCCTACGAGGAACGGCTGATTGCAAGAAAGCTCGATTTCTTGCTATGGGGATGGAACTACATTTGTGTGGATATGGTGCGCGAGTGGCTGGAGCCACAGC